GGGCTGACCATTGGACCTAACATATTGTGCTTGAGATCTTTGGTTTCGTTTGGCTGTGCTTGTTTTGACTGGTCCTCTCTCCAGTCCGCTTCACTCGACTGGTCTGCTTCCAGTCTCCTGCAGTCCGTGCATACCGGTAACATCGTTCCCCTTTTCCTTCCCTCTTCTCCATTGAGGGCAATGTCGATCTTAAGTGTGGGGGGATGTTTATCTTTAACTGCATTAGATCTGTTTGTGTGCTTGGAGCCTAGTCCACTGTCCAAATTTTTAAATTTGAGGGCTCCAAGTACGTGTTTCCGTGCAATTGCCTGCTCAGTATGCTTTGAATTGACAGTCTTTATAGTAATGTGCAACCTAGGGAGGTAGTGTAGCACTATGGAGGATGTTGATGCATTTAAGAAGTCTCATTTCTTCTTCATATTGTGTTGGTTGATTGAGTGAATTAGTGATCTTATGACCCTTGAGTTGTGTGGTGTTGTGGACTCTCTACCTGTCGTGGACTCTTGTTTCTTGTTTTGAGTTTAACAGGTGCTCGAAAATGTGCTTCAAAATAACGTCTCCCGTGCGAATAGGGCGAAAGTGTGTAAGGGGAGACGGGAATTCGTTCCCAATTTCCACCTACTACCTCCAGCCCCCTTACATGTCTTTCCCCCGCACGAGGCTCGAGACATCCGCTCCTGGCATGGCCGGTAAGAGCAGGTTGGGACCCTTAAAAAAAAGAGAAGAAAAAAATAACAGAAAACAAGCAAAACAGAAAGAAAAGGGGTTCCAACCATCTTCAAGAAGAAAATAGAGCACCTTGAAAAATGTGAGTCCATGATCCTTTGTTTTTGAGAATCTCTTCATCCACAATTCATTTGTCCTCTGTTCACTATTTGCCATGATGCCGACTCGATACTAGTGCTCTCGCCGAAGAAGCTATGAGATGACTTGTGCGTCGGTTGACCTCATAAGCTGCTAAGTGATCTAGGAAGTCCTCTACCTACGATCTGGGTTGTTTGTTGCTATAGAGGTCTGGAGAGTTGCATTGGTTTGAGTTAGGTTTGCTTGGGGACAAGCAAACGGTTAAGTGTGGAGGAGTTTGATAACGATGTAATTGCACATATTTGCGCCCCTAGTTCTTATCCGTTTGAGGGGCATAGTCGTGTATTTTTTGCCTATTTTACGCCGGGTTGTGCTATTTTGTCATGTTTCAGGTCCAGGTGTCAAAGGAAATGCTAAGCACGAGTTTCGGGGCATGCGGAGGTCATTTCGTCAAGCTGGAGCCAAAACACGGGCAGACCTAAAACAGAACACGGCCGTGTTCTGTGGCCGTGCTTTTACTGCCGAGAGCTAATTCAAGTTGGGAAAACATTGGCTAAAAACACGGGCAGAAGCACGGCCGTGTCCACCAAAGCACGGCCATGTCCATCATCGACCACGCCCGTGTTTCACCCAAAGCACTGGCCGTGTAATTAACCCTAGCCAAAACACGGGCGGGCTAAGGCATTACACGGCCGTGCCCTCGACCGTGCTTTGGCCACTGATGCCCTTTTAAGCAGATTTTCAGCCAAACAGAAGGGGATTCGAGTTTTGAGAGAGATAGAGCAATTCCTAGAGAGAGAAAGTGACGAACAAGAGTCTCCAAGTGCCCTAGATTGATCTTCAACACCAATGGAGGCCAGTTTGAGCTTGGAGAAGTGCCGATCAACGTCCAGGAGCAGGAATCCATCCTTCACAGTATGAATTCCGCGTCTGATTCTGCTTTTGCTTCTTTCTCCATGGAGTAGTTCTCCCATTCATCTGGGTATGGAGAACCCTAGATTTGTATGTTAGGCTTTGATTGTATGAACCCAAGTACTGATTCTATGATTTGATTATATTCGATTGAGGTTTGAATGATTGAATGACTTGAATCCTGATCAAATTCCTGTTGTTTCTGCTTTGACCTAGAATGAGAATATCTGCCTAGGTTGATAGAGCATCCTTGATTGAAGATAGGGAGTTGGTGACTTTAGTCGAGGAACCAACTCACTATTCTGTACCGAATTCACTCCGGTAGTGGAGGTTTTGTTTGTTAAGGCCTCAATCTGTTTACTCCGGTGGAGGTTAGTCGCCCGCTAGAGACTCAGATTGAGAGGGTCTGAAGACCTTTAGTCGAGACTTCAGGCTGTTTAAGAACCTTCCGCAGTATAACTATCATAGAAACTGAACTTGGTAATTACAATCCGGCTTAACTGCAGTCTAGGGGGAACCATATCCGGGTGACCTCTCTTAACCTGAATACAACAGTTTACTAGCTTTGTTAGTTTGATAGTTTAGACTTGCATTCCAGTTTCATTGCTAGATAACAAGAATTCACTGAGTAGTCATCAGATCTAGGACCCGGGTTGATAATTAAACCTAAACCCGCTATACTACGCTTTAGGAAGTGGTTCCACTTGGCCAATTCCTAGGGTAACAGTAGAAGTGAGTCACTGCCACAAATTATTATGCAACTTTCAGAATTGGGTTGTTATGTTTTGGCTCTCTGCAATTCGGATTCTTCTCATCAGGTTTGTTTGTCGATTTTTTCAATCAATGCCCTTTGCTTCACTGCTTTCATGTTTCTGGTGTATTGCTCCTCCGTCTATTTAAGATATGTTTATGTTTAATATGTTTTATGTTGTGTTCATATGATATCTGGTATGCATCCAACTGCTTTTCGTTTACGATTTCTTTCTCTTTCTTTCCATAATCATTTGTTGCTCTCGGATTCTTTGTTAATCTTCAATCCATTAGTTGTCTATGCATGTTTCAGTTGCTTTAACGTTTTCCCACATCCCATGTTTAATGTTGCCCTTTCACAAACCTCAGCTCTCCGACTTCTATTACCTATGTCGTGTTTGTTTATGTATGTGATTGTTTTCTTCGGTTTTGTGAATCATGGATCTAACTTGATATATCCCCTTGGAATCTTTTTTTGCTAGCAGCTGGGTTCGCATAAATCAAACAAATGAGTTCTCATTTCTACCATCAATCAATTAATTACTACAATCAATCAATTAAGTTCTCATTTTCTGGAAGGATCATTGGTTAGAGTACTTAACTGTCATTTGTTCGTGAAAGCATCTTTTCTAGGTCGTTTCAGACTGCAGTCAAACTATATCTTTCCCATTAAGGAATGGTTACATCATTGCTGCTTAAAATATAACGAGTGCAACTTTGTAGAGAGACTTCTGCCTAGAGAAACTATTGATGAATAGGTAAAAAATATGACCTTGAATTCATAAGTTGGTCATGGTAAATTGAGCGGCTCCATGTTGTTGACACCTGATTGAATTGTTCTTTTTTAAGCAACCTTACATTAGGAATGAAGTGGGGTCTTGACAGGATAACTCAAATCTATACGAAGAACTAAAAACCACTTGCACTGTCCTGTGACTGGCACTTGAAGATGCTACACCTGTTTATGTCTGCATAAACTCCCTTCCTGGATCTGATCACAGTATTCATCTTGCCTTTCGTGCTCTAGATGGGCAGTTAGTTGTGTTTATATTTTCCTAGTGGTGGACTATCCATTGACCATTGTATATCTTGATGATCCTGCCGTTTGGTTCAGTTCCTGAAGCTTTTAGTATTTAATTTATGTGTTGGTATCGCAGGATACTGAGTTTGGTGGTGATACAAGCAATGTGAGCAGAGGCAACCATACTATACAGAGATTGATTTAATTGCTAGGTCATATATCTTTCAATGAATTGCTTTATGGGGATGCAAGGTTTGGTAATTGAAGCTAGAATCAATCGGTGAGCTCTCTATATCTCATTGTACTATCTCTTTGTAATTTCTATGAACGTAATGGAATCATTTAGGAGTGCCTTAAGTATTAATTTTTTTGTTTCTATGAATGTAATGGAACTATATTATTCCTCTACGGAAGAACAGAGTGTTACCATATGCAAATGCATTGAAAGAGCAAATATTAAGTTTATTATGTTTTCTAAAACACCACTTTAGCACATTTGAAGCTAGATAATTTTACCATTGATTTCAAGACTTCTTGATGTTGGGAAATTGTTGGGATTACAACAACATTTGCAGGGCCATTCCTGGTTATGTTGGAGCTTAAGAGAGAAGCATGTGCATTTTTTCCCATTTATGTGTCAGTTATTTCCTTTTGCTTTTGAATTGTTGTGTTTCTTACCAAAGATGATTTGTCCCCCAGTGAGTGTAGTTCTGTATTCCAAAGAAAATCCGAAGATTTGTCATATTGATACATGCAATTAATAAGAAGTTCAAAGGGAAGAAGAAGCAAAGATCAATGATGTTGCGCTGTCGTTGATGCAACTGTTGGCTGGTGAAGTCGACACCGTTAAACAAGTGGAGTTCTTCATTGGTTCAATCCCTTTTTTTGACAAGTGGAGTTTCTTGGTGTAGACTTTGTCAAAGTATAACAGTCAATATGAAATTCAACTTCAATGCAGTAAACATATAGTGTTTCCTGCTGCAGCAGCACTTCTTGCCCTGTTGTTGTGGAATTTTTTTATTCTGCTGTTGTATTATCCCGCTACTCCTGTTGTAATTCTGTTATATCATGCTTGCGTGTTGTTCCAATTCTATGGTTGTAGGAAACTTAAGTATCTTCTTCCTTTGTAGTATCATTTCACTATCAGTGTCAGTTACTTAATGGGGAAAACCTTGAAAATTAACAAACCTGCTCAGTTTCCAGGTTCTCTTGGTGTGTAATTGGTATGTGAGTGTAACCGGTTTTAGCCTTTTAGGTCCTGCTACTCTCAATTCATCAATTGACATAACTAGACCTTGATTATAGAGGAATGTAGGCATGACGATCAAGCATGCTAAGCAAACAACTTCTTTTTGTCTTAATGTATACTAGTGTTTTGGCCCGCGCTTCGCAGCGGAAAGAAACTAATGATATTTGAAAGTTTATCCATATATTTTATAATTTAGTTAAGCTTTACAATACGGAATAGGAATACATTTTCTTTAAGTGATATATAAGAAATAACTACCCTCCATAAATCTTATACAATGTATTGGAATGACGTAATTCTCATGGAATAGTGTTACACAAATTTTTCGTACGATGCAGTCTAATAATAAAATTAAGTTAACAAAAATATTACACTTAATTATACGGTTATGTAAGAACCACCTAACTTACAACACAGTTTAATGCAAATAATAAATAACTTATGGTGGCTATGGAAGCTTTATGTAATATATTTGTAATTACATAACCGCTATAGAATAGCGTTGCACAAAATTGTCGTATCGTGTGATCTAATGATAAAGAGTTTTATAATAAATTTTGAGTTTTTAACTTTTTATAACAAAAACAACGAAACGAAAAAGATATACATACCATAATACTCCTACAGAGAGATGTAATTACGTAACTATTATGGAATAGCCTTACACAAAGTTTTCGTTTTGTGTTATCTAATGATAGAGAGTTTTATGGTGAATTGTGAGCTTTTATAGCAAAAAAAGCGGGGGGGGGGGGGGGGGGGGGGATACATCATACATTTAATGTACCGTAGTACTCCCGCGGAGAGATGGTGGAATAGAGGGTTGTGCAGACACTTATGGTGAACTCACCTCAATCGATGACCATCGTCAAATTTCCATCGTGGTTAACAATTGTTGGCCTGAGTTTGGTAGACTACCATGCAAGTGTTTGTATATGTAATTACTGCAATTTAAGTCCCCGCGGCGTAGCCGTGGATATTGATTCTAGTGACTATCTAACAACTCCATACAACCAATCTTTAGAACAGATACGCACTATATCATTATATATATATATATATTGGTTATTGAAAAATGAAAACCAGTTCCATTATCAATCTGTTCCAAAACCGCTTCCATCTATCTCCAGCAGCTGTAGACTGTAGTAATGGCTTCGTTTCGGCGGCTTGTCGAGTTGTAGTCTGTCTTAATTTCTGGATTAGTTGTTGTCAAGCCCACAAGGCAGGACTAGGACTAGAGATGGATGTATTAAAGCTGTTGCAAGTTATAAGAATGGTAGCTTAAATAAGGAATTACATAGATTGAGATTTTATTCTCACTTCACGACCATTTGTGGTTGGATTGAAATGGATTGTATACTAATACGGATACAAAACGTTCCAAATGGATCCAAAATGAAGTCTAATCACAATCATATTCCAATCCAATCCATAAACAAGTGGGAATATATAAGGTTCCAATAACGCAACAATCACTCCACTAACAAGCCAAGAAGAATCCCAAATGGATTCACGCTTTACTATCCTGAACATTAGCTTCATATCTTCCTATACCACATAAAACTCCTTCCCTAGCCCATATATATATTTTGCAACTATTTTACATTTCAACTGTGAATCATCATTCATCTAATTCTAACTTGATAAGCAGTGTCTATTAATGCAGCAGCTCTATACCAGATCTACCTGCATAAGAAGCATCATCAGGAGAAGCCATTTTGCTGCTCCTGCCAGTATAAATTGTACCCGTCACACACCTCCAGTTTGCCAATCAACTGGTCGATCCCTGCACACAAAAAGGAGAAGCCATGAATCCATCTTAACTAACGTTGTTCCTATAATGGGGATGGATCGATCCAGACCTACAGACCAATCTGGCGGTGAACGACTCGTTGGACAGCCCCTAATCATATCCAAATGTTTCATGAAAAGAAGCAAAAACCTACCAATCTCTGGGCTGTGGAAGTAGAGCTGATCGACTATAAGCTGCTCGTTTTCGTTCTCATTCTCATCTTCTGCTGGCTGCTTATTCTCCTTCTCCTTGGCAGCAGCATCCAGCTCTGCTTCAACATCAAAGTTTACAGCTTTCGGCGCCCCTGGAGCTGATGATTGCTTCCTTTTGCAACGAGCCCTCCTGTTCTGAAACCAGTTGTAGACACTGGCTTCTTTAACTTGACCGTACTTAGACAGCTCAGCGGTGATCTCCTTGATCTTCTCTTTGCCTGGATTTGCATTGCACTGAGCGAAGATTCGCTCGAGGATTTGCAGCTGTGCCTGCTTTGGCGCCCATCTTTGCCTTGATGGAATCCTGGATGAGCCGCAGGATGACAAAGGGTCGCCATATGGCAGCATACCTGGAATTTTAAACAAACCAGCAAATGAGATCTTACCACATCGACTTGCTATAGACACGCCAAAACACACAAACAAATGACTCAACAAGAGCTTAGAACACAGCTAAGTGAAGACGGAATACATAGCAAATAGTGTCCCCAGCCGTCCTAAATCAGACCAAATCTATCTTATATTAACTTAGATTCTATTGCTTCTCTAACACAACTAAACACTCAGGCCAAACCAAATAGAATCGAATGTGTCTCCAGTTATGGTATTCAGCATTTCTTTGATTTTATATCAAAGCCGCCCATGCACACCCCTAGATCATGATACAAAACAATGTTCTGCAGAGCAAAACATAGGAAACCTGAGCATGATATATCTACCACTCGCGAAACGACAATTGCAGTGGACCAAAAAGGGCATCAAGGAAATGCTGCAATTCAGAAAATGGAAGCCAACCCACAATTCCTACTTCCAGAAAGCGATTGACTTTGTTCTCCTCCAAAATCCTTTCCGACCCCTCAGTTGAAAACAGTTTCAACTCATTTTGCTTCCACTTAAAAGCTTTTTTCACTCCTGCTGCTTAAAGTTCATGCTGAAAAAGGGGGCAAACGACAGGGAAAAAGGAGAAGCAGAAAGAGCGGCTTACCCGAAAATTCAGGGCGATTGAGGGAGAAGGAGGTGTGCATCTCGACGAGCCGCTCGCAAATCGTGGCGTAAACTGATATTTGCTTCCGAAGCATCTCCATTTGTTCATCAGTCATCACTTGAACACCCAACCCACTTCCAATCAGCGCCTCCGCCGCCGCATTGTTGTGAATTCCTCCTCCGTTTCCCAGCTGGGTCTGCAGATGACCGGCGCCGGCACCGGAAGCTGAGACCGGCGGCTGCTGCTGCCGCCACCCCATCATCGTTTTCGGTGCTAGCTGACTCGCTACAAAACCCGGCTTCCGATTGGGGGTTTTGAAAGAAATGGGAAGGAAAGCAAATGGGGGTGAAGGAGAAAAAGCGGATAAAGATTGCGACTTTTTGAAATTTGCTTCTTGGCGTATTGTAGCGGGCGGGAGAATGGAAGTGGTGGTGGGTGGTGCACTCTAGCCTTGATTGCGCGGGTTTCCCGCGGTCTTTTCCCACGCGAGTCGCGACCAATCCATTATATAGGCCGCGGCCCGGTTTGGTTAGAAATCTGATCCAATAGGGTGTGTGGTCCGTCCGAAAAAGTAAAGGAGAGTAGAACTATTGTTAAATGAAAATATATGCATTTGATTTGGAATAATTTGATTTTAATTACTTTTTGTTTTGTATAAGAATTGAATCAGATCAAATAAAATTGAGACTAAATTTTGAAACCACATCAAATTATGGACTGACTCGAACTACGCTTAGACCAAATATCGACTAGGTCTGAAACTAACCGCCACCCATCCGCCCTGATATTTCCTTTCCTTTCTTGTTCGGGCACAAGAGCCTTACGAGTTAAGAGTTATGAATCAGTGTTTTTCAATCAGATTATTATGATTATGGTAAGAAAATTGAATTTGTGATATCATATTTGTGCTAGTGATACTCAGCTTATACGATATGATATTTCACCAAATACAGATCCTTATCCTACAAATCCTGTAATCCCGCAAATTAAGGAAGAACATAAAAGGAATTCGCTATGAAAATTGGAAATGGAGTCGCTAATTTCGTTGGGTAAATGTTAGTGGGCTCAAGATCATCCTTATTTCACAAACAAGCCTACTGGGTCATATGATTCCACTGTATCCCAAAGGCCCATATAAGCCCAAAATATGACCAAGCCCAAATAATAAAGTGGCACGACACCAGAGATTCCCTAGTGTTTTTGTCGTTTTGTTTTCACGAAGGAACACTGTTTCCTCGGATATGGCCCGCCTTGGCCGGGAGTTTGACTCGCAGATGGCGACCCGAGCCGAGAGCAAGCAAAAATGGCCTTCTGTTTGTCTTAGATCAAAAAGCTCTCGTGGCACTTTCCCCGATTCCCTCATCGTCGTACAAGAGACCTTTCAACGGAGGAGGAAGACAATTTGGTCACTCACTCTTGAGCGCGACGTTAAAACATAAAACCCCCTGTGGTGGTTGCTGCCAATTGGCATTTCCTTTGCACCCGCTGAAGCTCTCACTCGCCGATAAGATCAAACTAGTTTCAGCGACAAAAAAGGAGTAATGGGGGAAACGAATCAGAAATCTGGATCTCCCCAGCAGCAGCAGCAGCCTCTTCTGACTCCCTACAAGATGGGAAATTTCAGCCTCTCCCACAGGTAAAAACGTCCGATCGATATTGGAACGAAAGAATTAAATTTCCCCCCTTTCCACGTTGATTGATTGGTATATGATATCTAATCCACCCATGGAACAGGGTAGTTTTGGCTCCTCTAACCAGGATGAGATCCTACGGCCACATCGCGCAGCCGCAAGCCGTGTTGTACTACTCCCAAAGAACTTCCCCTGGCGGTCTCCTGATTTCGGAAGCCACTGGTGTTTCGGACACCTCTATTGGGTAACTTCACTCAACTTCCTCACTCTTTTCTCTCATGTTACCTTCATCATTACTTGTTTTTGTTTCAAACCCAGTTCTCGTTGACCAAAAACAACTTCCGGGTATGTTTCTAATTCCCCCCCAAATCATATAGATACCCAAACGTTCCTGGAATCTGGACTAAGGAGCAGATAGAAGGGTGGAAGCCGATTGTGAATGCCGTCCATGAAAAAGGAGGGATATTCTTTTGCCAGATTTGGCATTCTGGCAGAGTTTCTGATTACTGTGAGTGAGGGTTTCTTTCTTCAGTTCTTTAGTCCTTCAGCTTGTCCAAACAAGAAATGAGGTAAAAAAAAAGTTTGAAACTTTATGACATTTGAGTTTGATGGTATCTTGTTTTTCTATTTAGGCTTCCAACCAAATGGCCAAGCTCCAATCTCCTGTACAGACAAGCCTGTTGGAGGTGAATTCCAGATCGATGGCACCAAAGCCCCAGCTTATCCTGCTCCCCGCCGTCTTGCGACCGAGGAGATAAAGCAAGTTGTGAACGACTTTGCAGTTGCAGCAAGGAATGCTATGGAAGCTGGTAAACTCAGATTTTGCATACCGTGTTCCTTGTTTAAAGTGAGATCTATCGGCTAGTAAATATGGAGTAATCTAGTAATGGCCAACAGGTTTTGATGGTGTTGAGATCCATGGAGCCAACGGGTACATCATCGATCAATTCCTCAAGGATCAAGTCAACGACAGAACCGACCACTACGGTGGAACGATGGAGAATCGATGTCGGTTCGCCTTCGAAGTTGTTGAAGCTGTCGCTAAAGAGATAGGAGCAGACAGAGTCGGGCTGAGGCTATCCCCATTTGCAGACTACAACGACTGCCCCGATTCCAACCCCGAAGCTCTGGGCCTCTACATGGCTCAGGAGCTCAACAAGTATGGCATTCTCTACTGCCATGTGATCGAGCCACGGATGATCACTCAGTTTGAAGCACACGATACCCATAACAGCGTGCTGCCCATGAGAAAGGCCTTCAAAGGAACATTTATGGTTGCAGGAGGATACACTCAACGCGATGGGAACGAAGTGGTAGGAAATGGAGGTGCTGATTTGGTTGCATTCGGACGCTGGTTCCTGGCTAATCCTGATTTACCGAGGAGATTCGAGCTGAATGCAAAGCTGAACAAGTATGACAGAAGTACTTTCTACACACATGATCCTGTTGTTGGTTATACAGACTACCCATTTCTTGAAGCTGCTGACAAATGAAGTCTGCTGTTCCGAGTTTCCATTTTTTGTTCACTCCATTGGTATGGCTGTCTCTGCTGGCGTATATCTGAACTTCTAGAATAAACCGCCTTGTCGGAGCCTGTTGCTCCTTAACACTAGCATGTATCAACAACTCGTGCGTAAAGGAACAAAATTGATGGGTCTCGGTATCCAATCCAAAGTTGCTTTGATTTAGATCATTTCAATTGCCTAAGCCATGGATGATCACTCAGCTTGAAGCACTTGTACTTCCCATGAAAAACCCCTAGAAATTAACTTCTTATGGTTACATTACATGAGGATACAGTCAACATAATGGCAACGAAGTAGTTGCTAATGGAGGAGCTTATTTGGTTGCATTTGGACGTTGGTTCTTGGCTAATCCTGATTTACCAAGGAGATTTGAGCTGTATGCAAAGATTAATAAGTTATAAATGTATTTTCTTACGCGCATGATCTTATTGTTTGATACACAGAATACACAAATCTTGAAGCTGCTGACAAATGAAATCTGCAGTTCTAAGTTTCCATTTTTGTAATTTGTTCACTAAATTGTTAATCAGTGTTCATATGGACATACAACTGAACTTCTGCAGTCAATTCAACATTGCTCCACAACAAAGCAGCTATCAAATCGTGGCATAAATTAATCACATTGCCTTTGATACTCAATTCAATTCACGTTGCTTAATCTATTAGTTTGATTCTTAACTAAGATGAGTTCTGTGTCCAACTTACGAAATCAGAAACGAAGATGATCCCAAGTAGTTCAAACAAGTGTGATTAGCCTCTTTTTTTTTTTTTTTTGTGTGCTTGTGGAACGCAGATTTGTGCCTTAACTCTTAACTAGTGAAATCATCTAAATCAATCAAAATAAGATAATACGAGTGTGATTACCGCAGTTTTGTTTCTTAACTGGCGTATCAATCTGTTCAAAATGAAAGATAACACAAATGTAGTTAGCAAATTGTAGTTCCGTTTATTGCCTAGTGAAACAAATCTAAAATCAATCCAAATAAGATACATCAAAATAAGCTCACAAAAGCGATACTACTCGGTTGCCTCACTCGGCCATCAACATCTGCACCCCATCTCATAAGGGTATCAACGGCTTGAAACATGAATCGGAAGCCTAATCCAAAGGTAAACAATAGTCACTCGAAACTGTAAACTGACGCTGAGCAAATCACAATGCATAAATAAAAGCACACCTAGCAAATATTCCAAAACTCTAGACCTTCAAATCACCAAAGCCGACATCCAAGCAATCATAATCAATGATCAGGAGAAAGAACCATCATTTGCTGCAACTGTTCAGAAGTTCGTTACCCTCCACTGACAGAACAGAGACTACAAACAGCAATTCACCAACCTCTGCAATAATGACAAACATTATCTGACTTTCAAGGTGAAGCCAATCATTATCTTTGGTTTACCACGTAAACAAATATCCACACATCTAGATCACATTCCAGAAAACAGTTGGGGACAACATGTCCTGAAAGAATGAACACAGAAGACAAGAAGCCACTGGAGACTATAACAACATGAAATCGAGTTCAGAATCTACAGAAGAGAACCATTTCAGCTAAATCATTAAACCTTGATTCAGATTACAGATAGATTCGATCTCCCCACTTCTACAACAAACTACAGCGCGACCGACAGTGAACTCCTTACAAAGGAGGATGAACAAGCTGGGGGAGAAGAGATGCCATCCTCTTTGGAGAGACAAGTGGGGTAGTAACTGGGAAAAATTAATTAACAAGTGAAACTATCCATCCAGCCATTAGACATGTTTTCCAAGGGTACATTGTAAACAGCCTACATGACTAAAGCTCTATTCTTCTCCGTTCATTCTCTACTCCTCATCATCATCCTCCTGTCAAACCATCACAAATGAATTCCCATGGGATAATCAACACTGCGAAAATTATAAACCAACTTAAATAAACTTATCAAAACTCAATTTCAACTGACCTCTCCACTGCCTTCTTCATCGTCCTCGTCATCGTTAACTTCGGACATCGACTTCTCAGACTCCTCTTCATCCTTGGGTCCCTCAGCCTGAGTTTTCCACCCAAAGAAAGAAATACACATCAGAATCTGTAGAACCATGCATTCCTAACAACAAGATGGCAACGCCAATTGAGCAAGACAAACCACCTGTTCCTTATTGTAGGCCTTCATCTTCTTCTCATACTCAGCCTTCCTCTTCTCAGCTCTGGAGATGTAGGGTTGTTTCTCCTACAATTTGCCCAAATTCAACCCAAATCAGCAATAGCCCAACGCATCCAACCAACACAAATGAACCATAATCGCGCCTAAACTAACTCACAGCATCAGTCAAGGACTTCCATTTTTCTCCAGCAGCTTTTCCAACCTGAGATGATATCCATACAAAGCAACGGGAACCCATCAGCAAACCAAGCCATTTAAGCTCAGACAGAGAATAAGAAGCAGGTAGAGATGAATGAACCACTTACAGCTGCAACTGATTTATTTTTGGGGTGCTCCTTCTTGAAGGTCTCCCTGAACTCTTCCCTACATCCGTGAAAGCAAAAGCCAATCATTACAAGGGAAAACCTAGCACACACCGAATAGTCAAACCATCTAAACTAACACCCTGCCAAATGAATCAGAAGGCAAGCAAAACTAAAAACTCCTCCATCAATTTACCAATTCACAGGATTAACTATAAACCCTAAAAACCAATCAAAATTCCTCTAAACAACTTGGGAGAAGGATCTACAGAGTGGGAAGGGGGGATAATTACATGAAGACGAAGAAGGCACTTGGTGGCCTCTTGGGCTTGTTGGGGTCCTTAGCTGCTTTACCGGCTTTCTTTGTCGGCTTAGCAGGCTTCTTAGTCACAGACAACCTAAATCACCACCACCACGAACGAAAGGAAGAAAAGAAAAAAAAAACAACCACAATCGTCAGCTCAACAAACTCGATCTGCGATCCACCACTCGGCTGGCGATTCAGATTCTCTCCTCACGAATTCAACCAAAACCGGAGAAAAGAGGCAAGGGGAAGCTCACTTGGTGTTCTTGGCATCAGACTTGGATTTACCTCCCTTCATCGCAAATTCTGCAAATCCAACGCCAGATCAGCTCAAACCACCGCGAAATCGACAAAACCGAGCGAAATGAAACCATAATCGACGAGGAGATCTAACCTGAATCGACAACTGCCGGCGAGCTAGGGTTCTTTGGAAGCGAGAGAGAGGAGAGGAGGAAGGAAGGAGGGGGGAATGAAATGGACGCTTTTAACGCTGAAAGGCGGAGATATTAAGAGGAGGGGAAGGGAGATGAGAGAAGAAGAGATAGAGAGAAATGGAATGGTGGAAATTGAAATTCAATTGCGCACGAAATGAAAGTGGAGGGGTTTAGGCGGGATTTTACAAAAAATATTGCCACGTCAGCGATCCGGGTTCGATGGTTTGATTGGCTGGGAGGAGGCGGAGATGGAAGCCTTGGTTGCCTTTGTGTTTTCCCCTTGTGCTTCTTCGCTCTCTCTACGTTGTGAGTTAGAAAGAGGCCTGAAGAGGGTTTCGGTCAACAAAAGATTAAACAAATTTGATTGCCCCTCAGCGATCAACCTCCTCCGCTTGATATTTTTTCCTCCTTTCAAGCCCCTGGTGCTGCTGCCCGGCTGCCCGCGAATGTTCATTTGGTCTATATTTCTTTCCTTTCTTAAGATACCTTTTTCAAATTACAAAATAAATAAAGAATGGGATTAGATTGTATTTAACTTTGTGTAAGTTGATGATAACAATTAATTAAGATGAGAATACCGTGTTGGATCTCAGTCAGCGCTTCTAATTGCCTCTACTCTTGTCCTAGTGAAATTATTAAAAAAAAAACAGCTAAATTGTAACTGCTTTTTATGAATCGGTTAGTATTATATCATAAAAAACAACTTGACAATAAACTCTATCGATTCGATGTTCCTCGCATTTTAAGTATTAGTATAAATCTATCCCACCATGAGAAAAATACAGTGTTACACTGTGTTCAGGAAGGGCGGAAAGGAGGGGTAGGGAAAATAGCGCAGGAATTTAGGAACTTTCCTCCGTTTCCGAGAGCGAGAACAGTAAGGAAGCGAGAAAAATTAGAGAGACAAAACACTGTGCGGCTGATCCCTCCAAATTGGAGAGAAAAGGAAGGAAAGGTGTGTTGGTTTGCTTATATCTTTTATTTTACAATTTTTTTGGCCACTGAGTTATTGTAGCAGTTTTAAAATATTGATCCACTGTTTTATGTAATTAGGTTTGGCTAGACGTGTTAATGCTTTAGGAAAGATAAATGTCCTTAATTTTAGAAGAAGATAGTTATGATTATTATAAAATAATAAAATATATAGATATTTAATGTTTCTTATAAAATTACTCTACTACTATTAAATTAGTAAATTATCGTTTCACGCAAAAAATATTATCTTGGGCTTATTCGGTATTAGGGATGTGCAACGGTTCGTTGTTGTCCGGATTGTCCAAGGATTACGAATGATTGATCAATTATTATATAGTCTCTATTTATAATATTTTTGTTTATTAGTCAGCAGTTCATTAGTGGTTTCTCAAACGACTTAACACCGGTTAAACAATATCATCGACAGTTAGGCTGAAAAAACGTCCTACCGGAGTCTAAACCAACATGAGATTTTAAACGCTATAGAATAATTGTTGTGGTTAAATCACGATTTTTGAACAATATACCCTACCACTAGTTTTTCCGGTACAATCTCTAGTGCGGTTTAGAAAGAAAGTATAAATTCAATTCACAATTCATAAGTAGAATATTATACAATCAAATTATTTTACTATTAAATAACCAATAAAATAACATATTCATCACACTTCCCTATACACACTTTCCTCAATAAAACAACATTTTCCTCCCAATTTCCTTCACCTTCAAATCTCCCCTCCATTCCTAATTTTCCTTCACCTCTCCTTCTTTTCCTCCCTTCCTTCAGAAACAGAGTGGAGTCAAACTAATAGAAATCGTCAAATTATATCTAAGAGGTCCAAAACCTAACCATTGCTTCATTAGAGACGGTAACCGCTTCTTATTTGATGTGTGCAAGCAGCACATCGAAGCTTTGACAAGGGTATGCGAAATGAACATCTCTCTCCGTATATAATTTAAAATTGAACTCCAAATGATTCTCCTCGTTTTAGCAACAAGATTTTGCCTTTAAATTTTGAAACAACCCACGTCAGCTTATACTTCTTTTGGTCATATCGTCGGTACGATACAATCCAACGATATGATCAGAAAAAGCTTATTGGAGTCCAAACCGATATAGGATTTTACCAGTATGAAATATTTGAACCATGTGATTTAAGCACAAGGTATCATACATTGACTATTATGGTACTAGCATCGGTATGGTTTTTACAATATATAGTTTTCAGAGCAATTCCACATAAACACAGTTCGTACTCCGTCGAACCTTCGAAGCCCCATTTCTACAACTTATCATAGATGTTGATATGGTTATATATAATACCTTGAAGTTATTATAGCTTTTGACCTGATATAACAGGTTTCACACGTCGCATTACATAAAATACAATAGGCATTACGTAAAGGTTACGTAATGTGTGTTTATCTTACGTAACAGTTGAAAAATGTCATTACGGAAAGCTTACATAATAGACACTCATTTTACGTAATGAATATTAGTCTTTCGTTACTTAATTTGTTAAATCATTACGAAAGACTTACGTAACGCTTCTAATTTAACTGTTACGTAAGAAATAACTATCGTTTTGTAGCCTTTACGTAATAATAATTCTTCAGTGGTTCTCTCTTATTTCTCTCTCCTGAAACTTCTCTCTGATTTCTAGGATTACGATGGATGCCTCGCCGTCAGCCATCCCGGCTGGCGAGGGCTCCTTCTCTTAGGCTAAGTTATTTGCAGTAGCACCAAACAATCGACTCCAGTATCATCCTCCGATCAAATTTCAGGATGGTTTCCGTCTTCCGAAAGAGGTGAAGGAGAAGGGAGCGGAGCGGTGGAAGAATTCACTTATCGGGCAATTCGTAGGTCTCGCCCGAAGATATCAGAGTTTCAATCTTGGGCAAACGCTCTTTGGGGCCGAGATAACATCGTTCGAGTGTCGAAGTTTGGGGCGAAGCTCTTGGTGTTTCAATTTCCTTCTTCTGCTTCGTGCGATTGGGTCTTCCAGTCGGGTCCTTGGCTCTATCGAGGTAATCCTGTCTTCTTTCGAAAATGGAAACCGGGAATTCAGCTAGTTGTATCTAAGGTGGAAACGTTGCCAGTTTAGGTCAGAAAATTGGGTCTTCCTTTGGAATATTTGGCATTGAAAGGGTTGGAATGGGTCGCAAGTATGATTAAGCCACTCTGAATGGATCAAAAGACTAGGGTAGGTGGGCAGCTAGGATTTGCGCGTGCTTATGTGGAACTTGGAGCTGATTACACGTTCCCAACTTTTATTCGTATATATCCAGATGATGATCCTCCGTTTGATATTGGGATAGAACACAGCAATCTCCCTCAGGTTTGTTCGAAGTGCAATGTGCTTGGACACAATTGTGATGCTGGTCCTAAACGTGTTTGGGTACAAAAGAAGAAGAATGAGAAGATTGAGGTATCTGCTGAGGTTCAAAAGGAGGGGGGATAGGGTAGCTGAGGCTGAGCTAGTGGAAGAAATCCAAAGGCAGCTATAGGATAGTGTTATGCAGAGCGTGTTTGCAAGTCTAGAGGAAGAGGTTGATACACAGTCTGTTCAGGAGGTGAGTGCTTCTTTGGCCACTGTGGACGAGACTGTCACCCCTTTACCAATTGGGGGGGGGGGGGGGGGTTCGAGTAAGTTTTGCAGAGGTGGTGAAAGGGTCATCAGCTCTTGCTGGGAGCCCTGTCACATCTGTGCAACAGTCTGAGGACTTTAAATCACTTTCCCAAGAAGGGAGTTTAAGGCCTCAGATCACTGCTCGGCCTGCAGATCCTACAAGCTCTCGTTTTGCTGTTCTGGATAAGGAGAATAAGGTTCCTAGTGTAGCAAGCAAGGGTAAGAAGATTTGGATAGATCCCCTTGAGATTAAGAAGAAAGTGGGTAAAAGTGGAGGAAGGGGTCGAAGTCGTAAATGAGAATCTTATCATGGAATACTAAAGGTTTTGTAGACGATAGTAAGTACAATACATTACTTAATAAAATAAACAAGTATACTATTGATGTAGTAGCAGTGTTAGAGCCTCGGGTAAAGTTATATGATGAGAAGAAGTTGCTAAAAAAGAGATTTGTGAATTGGCAGCAGAAGATATTCTATAATGAGAATGGTCTGGGACATGGAGAATGGATATTAAGGTGCAAGTTCTGGGCTTCTCGGAGCAGTTTGTGCATGTTATGGTGGGGGATAGAGTGCCTTTCTTTGCCACATTTATTTATGCCCCCAACCTAGAAGGTTGAAGAAGAGAGATGTATCGAGAGATTGCAGGGCTGAAGGTATAGCACAGACCATGAGTTTTATTGGGAGATTTTAATGCAATTAGGAATCAAAGTGAGGGGTCAAATAATCCAGCACAAATTTGCAAGTATGGCTGACTTGAATGAGTGGCTTACGGATATTGAAGTTGAGGAGCATAAGTCCACTGGTCCTTGGTTTACGTGGATGAATAGACAAGCAAACAATCCAATTGCTAGAAGATTGGATAGGGCATTTGTAAATTTGGCATGGCTAGATGAGTTTAAGGAAAGCACAGTCCATATGCAAAAGCCTAGGGTCTCTGATCATTGTCCAGTTCTGGTTCAAACAGAGGTGCCTCTTAAATCACTGCTTAAACCTTTTAAATTCTTCAATTTCTAGGTGGAGCATCCTAAAATTGGGGAGTTGTTACAAGAGGCTGATTGGTGAGAATGTCTTGTTAGCTCATGAACTGGATTCAAAATATGCTAGAAAGAATGTTTCATATAGATCAGCTCTTAAAATTGATCTAATGAAAGCATTTGATTCTGTCAACTGCATTTTATGTTCAATGTGCTTGAAGATATGGGGATTCCCGTTGAGTTTATTGATTGGATCAAAATGTGTGTTACTGAGCCTATGTTGAGTATATCATTTAATTGAGGGTTGACAGGATATTTTCCTTCTAAGCAAGGGCTGAGACAGGGGGACCCTATGTCTCCATATTTGTTTGTGGTTGCTATGGAGGTTTTTACCTGTCTTTTGGATAGAGAAGTAGAGAGGGGCTACTTCCCTTACCATCCAATGTGCAAAACGATTAGATTAACCCATTTATGCTTTGCGGATGGTCTCTTGGTGTTCTCGGATGGTTCCAACTGTGGGTTGCAGAGTGTGCAGAATTTTTTAGACGAGTTCTACTGTTTATCTGGTTTGAAGTCCAACCCAAGCAAATGTGAGGTGTATTTCGGAGGAATGGATAAGGATGAGATGGTTGTTAAGGCCACTCGTTTTGGGTATCAGCTGGGCAATTTCCCTGTTCGCTACCTAGGTGTACCATTGATTGCGGCAAGTTGACAGTGGCTTCATATAAGCCACTGATTGATAGGCTTACTGCTCGGATAAAAGGATGGAAAGAAAAGTCTCTCACGTATGCAGGGAAGGTTGAATTGGTGAGCTCTGTGTTGTATAGCATTACTTAGTACTTGATGAGTGTTTTCTCTCTTCCTAAGTAGGTTCTTAGGGAGATTGAGAGAATTTGCAGTAATTATTTGTGGGTTGTGGGTGATGGACCGAGGCTTAAAGCAAATATAGCCTGGATGTATATAACCTATCCTAAGAAAGAGGGTGGATTAGGATTGAGAGATATGTTTGCTTGGAACAATGCTTGTATTTGTCACCAAATATGGGCAATCATGTTGCAGCAAGGATCACTCTAGGTGGCTTGGATTTTGACATACAAGCTGAAAGGGAGGAGTTTCTGGGAGACAAATATAGATGGTTCTTGGAACTGGAAGAGGCTGATGAAGCTGCGAGGTAAACTTCCTCACCTTTTCCGTTTGATTGATTGCAAAGTTTACTGGAATAACTCTGTTATGCCAAGGTATTCTGTGAAATTGGTCTGGGAGTCACTAAGACCTAAACTAAGTTCAGTTCCATGGGATGGCTTGGTCTGGTTGCCTCCTTCTACTCCCAGAAATAGATTCCTGGTCTGGCTTATCATTAAGGATAGGATCCAGACTAAGGATAAAATGAAGAAATGGGGTTATGCAGGCTCATATATATGTTGTCTTTGTAATAAGTTGCTAGAAAGCAGAGATCACCTATTCCCGCAGTGTGAGTATTTTAGGAAGATCTTTCAATAAATGTTGGGGGGGGGGGGGGGGGTTCTGGATTCTT